ATGTTGTAATCAAAAACGTTATTCTGGTATCGCGAACGAGCAAAAACAAACAAGTTATACACGTAATAAGGTTGTTTTCAGCAACATACCTAGAGATACTTCCGCATGTAAGGGAAACTTGATAATAGTGGTTATAATAATATTTTATAGTGTGGTCCAATGTCTTGCATATGTATTATCATATTCTCATTTAATTATACTGGTGTGAAAATCGTGTCATTAAGTCTTTTCTGTTGGAATCCTGTAGTATATGCATTATGCATATTATAATATAGTTGACCTATTGTTTGTCATACAGCAACACATGCGATAATATTGTCTTAGCGGAAAACGATAAAGCCAGTAAAAAATATGCATATTTACTATGAACGGAATTTAATGTATATTGTAGAATATGAAAATTCTACTATCACTGTCATGTTATCATTAAATGTATGTGTTTTTTAAAATCTCTTTTTACACGATTTAAGTTCACGGTACATATTATAATATAATCGAAAAAAAATAAGTTTATTTTTCTAGAATATATCGTTATAATTCTCCAAGTTAATTAAAAGAAAAATATATATATTTTTTTTTTAAAAAAACCTGCCTCATTTGTTATCATTGCGTCTATTAATAATACGATAATATCTATTGATGAGCAGTTTTATTAGATTTTATTTTTAACGTGGGTTACAGTTTTCATCTAAGTTGTCTTCCACATGTATTTCTTATAGTTTTATAGTTTTATTATATTATGCTATGAAATATAACAATACATATTTGCATCTGCACTTTTTTATCCATGCGTTATTGTCTGGTAAACATTTTTATTATTTTTATATTTTTGCAACGACACGAAAAGGGTAAAGTGTAGGTAGAAAAAAATCACCGATTCTCTCTGATTGTGTTTTTTACGTTATCTATATTTATTTATTCGGGTATCACGATAAAATATGATGTGGTCAAATCCCGAAATCTGATCGAATTTTATGATAGTTGTGTAATACATTTTGTATTAACATATAATGGCGTTTTTTTTTTTTGTTTTCTTGTGATTGTTTTTCGCTGGCTTGAACAGTTTTTCTTTAATGGGTTTCGATTATTTCTATCGTTTCATTTGAAGTTTAGGAAATTTGGACACATTTGGTACTGCAATTGGTTTGAAGAGTGGCATGTATATTTTTTTATATATTTTATTTGATAAGTATAGATATGTTTAACATAAAAATTACACCTTTTATGTCATCACTATTAAGTCATATATTAATAACTTTAGATGGTATATTAAATATAATAATTTTTAATTTCAAAAACAATTTACTTTTGAGTTTTTTTTGAAGTATTCAGTGTTACTATATATAACGGTTAACTTAGTATAATAAATAAAATATATCGTAGAAGATGGAATAAAAAATATGTATGACATATATATAATCCATGATTAACTATATCAAATAAGTTTGCAAGATGTAGAATATAAAAATTATAATAGAAATAATCGTACTAGATAGGTGATTTGTAGATGACTAATAAAACAAAAAATACGAGAGTAACTGTACCTAAAATTATTCCCCAGATGATACGCGTACCTCTATTGTGCTCTTATATTATACTCAGAGCGGGTCTGTTAAAAAGATAAAAAAAAAATTTGCACGGAAATTACAAACTGCAGCTGTGATATATACGTGAATACGTACATATTATTATCATGAGCACATATATAATATTATAGATTTGTACACTGGCTGTGATTCTATGCCCGTGATTCAATTAAATGCCTTTTGTGTCACAGATATTGAATTTGAAATATAAAAAAAAAAGTCAACGTTTGAAAAGATATAAAATAATTTCTTTAATTTTAATTTTGAAACGCTCGCGCATGTTCATTAAACGCTATTGAACGTAATTTACGAACACAGAAATATATACACATAAATAATTTTATTTTTGTGTCAGAACCACAGTAAATTAATAATAATATAATTTTGTTACGACGCGACGCCATGTCGTGTTCACATCGCAGACGGAACAGAAGACTGTAGTACAGAATAGTAAATTCGCAAAACTGTACAGAGAAAATATCGATTTAAGTGATAATCGCTGTAGGTATGCCTTCATAATATTATCCTAGCATTTTAGATTTGTCAGTGATATCATATTTTCATCATATTATATTGTAATAAATCTGGTAATAGTGATTACTAACAAACGCTAATGTTTCGTTAAACAATAACGGTAGACACAATATCGATTAATTTCATAAACAATAATTATATTATTATTCACGACTATTATGATTTGACGTTTAATTGAAATTCGTTAATGTATGACCGACTTTTGTTGATATTTATCAATGGTGAATTCGTCTTCAACGAATTCAAAATTCTGGTACAATAATAATTGAACAGATGTGATAAATTGTATACTATGTAAGTCTAGTTCGAAAATAACAATAATAATCATTTTATGTTATTAAAATTATTATTATTATTATCAATTGCTATTATCTCCACTGCTTGTAATTAATAAAAAAATATTATTTTTACATGATATAAGCTACAATACCTAGACATTTTCTTTTATATGAATAATTTATGGTATTGATGCTGTTATTTTAAATCATACATTGATCACCTCGATAACTTGTCATAATCAATAAATTTTATATATAATATTATTATAGTTTAAATAGATAGTGTTATTCTACATGTATTTATAGCATTTTTTTCTTGTAATTGGAAATTAGATTTATGTAGTTTTGATTCATAACGGTCTACAGACTCATAGATTTTATATTGTTGCATTCAAATATGATCTAAACAACTTAAAACAATTAATTTTTATAATCACTCAAAATGTATAACACAGCATGTAAAGTTAAAGTATGTTTTGGTTTGTACCTAGTGATTATTAGCAGCAAATACGATAAAAAAAAAAAAAAAAAAAAAAAAATGAAAAAAGCTCGATTATTATCGAGAATAATTTTTAACTGTTTTTCTTGTGTCCAAAAATAAATAAAACTGACTTATATTTCACAGCAGGGAATCAAAATGTTTTGACTTAAGATGTACAAATATTATACATTACTTAAACGTAGACAAACAACGATAATATAATAATTGGCAAAGTTTATATGGTATCAGCAAATTAATGTGTTATGCAACATGGAAACTTGAAACATGTGAAGAAATATAAAGTTCATAGTGGACAAAAATTTTCTTATTAAAGTATTCAGTTAAAAAACGTAAGCAGATATCACATGGATTTTAAATTTCCAGTAACCTAAAATTGTTAATTTTTAATCGTTAAAATATTATATTATTTTTGTTAAATAACTCAAATTATATTTCATATGAAAACGGTTTAAACATATCACTGATAAACTTAAAATATCTTTACTCAATGGAGTCAAAAAATCACTGATTTTTTATTGATATTTAGATATAATAAAAATTAATCTCAATATAATATAATATTATAATTATTATAGTCAAAACAAACCATGACAGGCCTGTAGCTAAAATGCCTATCCAAAACGCCGTTTTATCATTATTATGCAATTGTTTTTGCATCTTAATACTATTAATGATAACTTGTGTAATTGTAATATATGATTAGATGATTATTATCATTAATTGTTATAAATTATTAGAATTTATGTTTCTTTTACGCTGAAAAAAAAAAAAAAATAATAATAATTAAGTTTAAGTCAAATCCTTGAGGCTTATTATATAATTTTTGGGAAAAAATTTAAGAAACACAAAATCAGTATTTTGAAATATTGAGTTTTCAATAATTGGTAATTTAAGAATTTGTGATAAACTTGATTTTATTAACAAAGTTTTAAATCAAATTACAAACATTGAAGCAACTATTCAACTAATAATTGTAACATAATAGTAAAACGGTAGATTGTTTCGTCAACATTTAATAATTATATACGGAAATCCACCAATTTCATAAATTCTCAATCAATAATAACAGTTCAACAAAACATCAAATCATAAACTTTATAAAATTGATCAAAGTGTTATAATGAAGACATACAAGTACAATAATTGTCAATTCATTTTTTATCTGTACGATAATAATTAAAAAAAAAAAAAATGCTTCTTTTACACTTTTCATTGCTCAATATTATGTCAGAAAAAGTGAACTTGTCAAATTATATAATGTATATAGTAGTATTTATTATATAAATTTTTATATAATATTGATTAAAATTATATATATATATATATATATATATATATACATCCCCAACTTTTTACATGCGTAATTAATCAATATATATAGACATTTATCAACTTCTCTATTTATCAAATATTTAAACTTAATTTGAATATTTGAAACAACATCAGAAGCTTTGAAAGTTAAAAATATTTAGATAATGAGTTTATTTATTTTATCTCAAAAACCATTAACTTAATTCACCTATTACTTTAACTCCACTAATAATAAAAAAATGACCTATTTTTTATATTTGTTTTGTAGAATAATTATAACTTTGAGTTTCCTAATAAGCCTTCAATATAACTTTGTGAAAATATTTGACGTATGCAATTATGTATTTTTTATCGCACAACATTGATTATTTTGGTCAATTTTTTTGTAATAAACTATTTTTTTCTTAAATTATATTTAACACTATAATATTAGGTTTCAAAAACTTTACTTTTTTGTAAAAAATTAAACGTTGTTTGTTTGTAAAAATTAATTATATAAAAACCTTTTTTTTTTCTGAAACTATAAAAATAGCCAGAATGAATTTTAAAAGTTATTCTTTAGATATTTAATTATTAATTATGACTCATCGATATGTTTGGTTAAGAGAATCTATTTATATTTTAATAATGATACATTAAATAATGACGACATGACTAAGCATACAATATTAGACTATTTGATCATTGTAGTTTTAAAGAAGAAAAAATAAGCTCGAATAAATACGAAAATAATAATAATAATCTATACATATCTGATAATAATATAATATGTACGAAAAAATTATTTACCTGCTAGCGAGGGTCGGTACATTATTGCATTTTTGTAACTTGACACGGCTGCTTCAGTGTCACCTTTTTCTCGTAGCAAATTCCCTCTGTAACACACATACATAAATAAATATAATGTTATTATCGATATGCTACGCGTATAGGTACGCACTGCGATGAAATTATTTAGTCTTATGATTCATTGTAGTTGTTTTTGTTGTTGTTATTATTATTTTAATATAATTTGGGTATTCGTAAACCATCTCAGCTTTTTGGCGAAATGAACTAGAGCATTAGCTGTCAAGTTGACAAATTGCCGCTGGAAAAGCTAAAACACATCGGCACACGCGACCGAGCGCGAGGAGCTAGAGCCGAATATTGTGTTCTATTAATCATATCGCCCGGGACAGACACACGCGTGACTAACGAAAATAAAAACGGAAGGAAACGACTGCGACGAGAGAACCGTGTAGCAATGCGCTTACAGAGAAATTTCACGCTTAGTTACACTACACTAGACGAGCACACACACACACACACGAATATATATATGATATCATACTCGCGTGGTTTAAAATCTAGTGTACGATTATATAGAGTCCTTTTATAGTAATGATCGTTATTGCCAGTTTTTTCCCCTAAAATGTCCGCACGGGGAAGAAATGATCGTTAGAAGTAGTATAGGATGTGGGTGACAAAGAAAAAAGTGGTCCAAGCACAGAGTGGGACACAGCAACGAAATTTAATGGAACGTATATAATTTGTGTGGCTCGATCTAAATTTAATAATATCCGTACTGAGCACTTAACGCGTTCAAAACTATAAATAAATATACATTTAAGCGCTTAACAGTAATTTACATGTAATACGTAAGCATCGAAGGTATTTATAGTAGCAGCAGCGTTCGAATGTGTATATTTATATGATTTCACATATAAATTATTATTATTATAATAAGTATGTTTATTAATATATTACATAATAGTATGTGAGTTCAATAGAAGAACATTTCATCTGATCCTTATGTGATAACTGCTACATTTAAATAATTTATATAATATTCCATAATATTGTGTCTGAATGTGTGTGTTTATGTGTGTGTGTGTTTGCAATGATATGAGTACTGTAGTAATAATATTAAATTTAAAATATATTGGCAGAGTAATGTGTAAATGCATGATATTACTATTCGGGGAGCCCGTGATAGAATGAGGTTAGTTATCTTTTAATCCTAAGAATGAATCATTTGAGCTCCATAGGAAAAAAAAACTAATTTCATTATTGACTGTACTTTAATTTTACACAATTTATTTATTATACAAAATAATATGATAATCGTTTAAATATTGGTAATACAAACTACTTAGAAGATTACTTTAAACAAAATAGTGTAAAAATTTAAAAATGGCTAAAAATTAACTTATTTTCTTTCATCCACACACTATATATATTTATTTTACATTTTAAACCTAAAATACCCAACTATTTGTAAATTTATTTTTTATTTAAAAAAAGTCTAATAGATATAAACTAAACATTTAAAAAAAAAATAAATATTTTTTCTAACTTTGGGGATAAATATACCAGTTTATATTTTGAGTGGGTATTTAGAATTTTTTATGTTGACCATTCGAAATGTACAAAAATATTTAGATTCTAGTTGCTAGTTGGCTTAATTGTGCATGAGAGTGAGTATAGTTGTGTAAATATATTAAATTGAATACGCATGAAAGGTGTAATCCCCAGTATTATAATTATGAACATTAATGTTTTGTTAAAACATAAATTAATGTTTTTATTTTCATATGCATATTTTATTTTTTAAATCAAATGGTCTTTTAAATAAAAATGACATTATTTTTATCGTATGATTCACTTGCTTATTAAATAAATAAGTTACTACGCTTATCTAATCAAAATACTAGAAAATATTATAAACAAATTTCAATTTCAACTTTTAAAATAAAATTTAATTGGAAGATAAGAATTGACATTCGTAAAATTAGTAGTATGATCTATATCGATAATCGTTGTGGATTCCCTACAACAGTTTTAAAAATTTTCTAGTTTTCTATCGTATCTAGTTTTGTTAGTACAATGGATAAATTAATACATCTTTCTTTTCGTATAAAAAACGATCGTAATCAAATGCTCTCAATATAATAGAATATCAAATTTGTACGTTTTTAGCTGTATAATATACATGCAGAAATGTAACGTATTTATTTTGTTTTTTATGATTGCTGTGACGTAGTTTTTTAGTGATAATAATCATGTGATGCATTAATTCTTGAAATTAAATTAAATAATCTATCAATATTCTTATATTTTCTCCGGTTATTTGCTTAAAGTTTCCGGAGGAAGAGAACACATATATAATTAAGCTTGATGACAAAAATTAAAAAAGTACGCGATTGATGCTTACTGGAAAACAAATATTAAAAGAAATAAAAATAATGATAAAAACAAAATAAAATGCTATAGCAACAGATTATATTGCATGTAATAATATCATCCCAAAAGGAAATATTTTATTTCTTGTATGTTTATTGATTTAATGAAATATAAAATGTCGGATATCATCAAATCAATACTATAATAATAAATTAAATCTTTGGGTCGCCAAATTCAATATGACGTATTATACTACACATATAGCATAATACCATCCGATGTTCGATAATTTTAAAAATGAGATTCAATGACTGATTTCAAAAAACTAATACCAATTTAGTTACAATTCCAAATGTAAAGACATAAATATTTTTATACACACGATGATTGTGATTCTGCTGTTTACTGTTTGTATTCAGTCAGATCGACTTTTGTTATTGGGTCTTAAACAACGATGAACTGCACTACTATACGGTTCTTTTTGCACCGGACTTCATTTATTTTTCTAGACCCGAGTTTTATCTGCTGTGGTATACACCCTAAATATGCTATACATTATACGTATGTTGAATACATCAGTTAATTGATTTTTTGTCTGCATAATCGTTTTGGTTTTATTCTCGTTGTATTCAAACTTATAAGTTTTTCTGTTTCACGTTATAGTAAAATATATTTATGCACAGTACTGACATGTATTGTACCATACATAGCACATAATATTATTCTATTGGTAATCCATCTTCGCTATATGACATTCGATCCCCCCCCCCCCACTCATACATTGCCAAGACCCGTAAATCATAATATACTCACCGCTCATAACTTTAACTATAATAAATTAGCCATTATGATCTTAAAAGTTAAAAAGAATAATTAATTTTTAAATCATTGTTTATAGATTTAGAGACTGGAATTCTATGAATTTGCATATTCATACTGAACGAATGCACATGTACAGTGCCGGATCTAACATTTTTTTTAACCCGGGGCAAAATATAAAATTGGCGCCCTTCTATATCAATAACTTTTTTTTTTTTTTTACTTATTACATAATTAAAAATTTGCGCTCCTTCATGACTAGTATCCGGGGTACGTGCCCCGGATTGCTCCCCCCCTAGATCCGGTGCTGCAAATGTATTATATTGAGGATTAAAAATGTCAGCATCTCAAATCGAATCGATTCTAAGCTTGATTTTGTATAACGTAATTGCATAATTAGAAAGTTGAGGCATTTTTGTCATTAGAGCATATACGTTTATATATTTTTGTAAATAATCAAATCATTTTATCATTTTTATCTCTTCATTCTAACTAAGAATATTTAATATACCTATACATTTTACTCAGTACGAAATATGCCGAGAAGTCGGGCGTAGTTGTCCTAGAAAAATAAACACACGTGCACATTCCGTCGCAAAGTACATTCGTATACTTATATACACAACTGTTTATGACGAAGATACGATGTACGGTGCGGCGACGCAAATACACTGACATACATATGATGATGATACTAATGTGCAGTGTACGCGTAACTTTATATTATATAAACATAGCGATGGAGGCGGCGGTGGTGGGAAAACTGAACTATTATGACTACAGAATTAGCATGTTATACGTGTGCGGGTTTGTTTAAATGATTTATGAGCGAAATATACATATATTGTACACTATTATACACACGTGGGCTGTGGGTGCGTGTGTGCATGATATTCACGACATAGTATAATCTCGTGTTTCGGTCACTTAGCCGTGGTGAGCTCGAGGTAGCGGACAGTAGTCGCCGCCGTCGTTTTAATGCGTATTCATTGCAGTGCATAAAATTTGCTGGCCGGCCGGGCGTGGGGTTGTTAGAGTTTTAGGGGTGTGTTTGTATGTGCGAAAAAGAGACAGACGACGAGAGGGTGCGGGACACGCACAAAAGACAATTTTAATTACAATGCCGCGGTCGAGGCGGTCACCATAAAATACAGTCACTCCGGGTTTAGTGCAACGAAAACATAAAATTAGTGGTCGTTAACGGTGCGCGTACGTATTATTATCATACATACATATATACAGGCGAAATGACCAGCCTTTAATTATATATACGATAGTTCTTATTTTCAAGGTATTTATACGTATATTATGGCCAGCAGGACAACCTTTGGTAGTAGTGGCCGTTTCGCAATATTTCGTTCACGTTTTTATTTTTTTTACTCCTGACCTCCAGGGAATGCACGATATACCAACCCGAACCTATCAACATTAATTATTTTGTGTTGAAAATAGCAGGAAATATATACTGGACCGATGAATTTAAGTATATTTGTAATGGCTAAAGAATAGTTAGGTACCGATATAATTTAAGCTGTCACTAAGATTTCCGACAGCTTATGTTTAGTACACCTAGCCACTACGGAAAAATATGACAAGGCGGCGAGTACAACTTTTCCATTAAATTGTACGATTTTTATTTAACCATAGTTCGGTTGCTGAACCATCGGCGATGTTATTTTATAGAAAAAATATAATGTGTAATGCATTATAAAAAATATTTATATATTATTACGTGCACACGATCCGGAAGAAAAAAAATATTCCTATTACATAGAATTACGGATGTCAATCATGTAAGATGCTTGATGAACGTTTAACTTTTTTCCTGACGCTGATATGGTGATTAAAAAGGCGTAAAAAATTGTAAATTTATTTCATTTACTTCAAAGCAAAA